TCAGGATGTCATTGATCTGGGGCAGAGCTTGTGTGTGTCGGGGGACTTTTGATGCACAGCCAGGGCTGGACCACACAGGGAGGGCTTACAGAGGGTCCAGGGCTGGATTTACATCCTAGGCCCTGAGAGCCAGAGTCGTCATCCCTCAGGGCCACAAACTCCCAGCAGGAACAGGGCAAAGGAAGTGCTGACCCAGAGTCCACTTGATTTTCCTGGAGCCACCCACCCCACCCTGGAGGCAGAGGCTGAACTCTGTCCTTGCCTGGCCCAGGCTGGAGGGGGAGGCCCCACTGAAGGCTGTGTGGCTCCTGCCCCCTGTCCTCCAGCTGGGCAGGCTCCGTATCTAGACTCTCAGACAGGGAAATCGGTCTTAGAATTCTTTCAGCAACAATAACAAACACAATCAGAGAATCAACAAACACTGGGAGCTCGGCGTTTCCAAGTTGGAAGGGACCTTATAAATAAACAGTCTCGTCCAGCACACCACCCATCGCACAAATCATTTCCCAACATTCCCGCCATATGGCTGTCCTGCCAGTATTGGAAATGAATGAGGTCTACCCTTCCCCACACACGTAATGCGTGTTAGGCATCACCCATCCATCGCGGGTGATCACCGTACACCCCATGGTTGGAAGTTACGGAAGAACTTCCACTTTACGACAGGTGCTAGTGCTCTTTCTGAGGCTGCGCAGACCTAAGTTTAAATCCCACCTGCCAGATGTGCGGACCGCTCTGAGCCTCAGTTTCCCCATCTGTAAAACAGGGATGACAGTTGTACAACTTCATAGGTGTTGAGAGGTGTACTCAAAGTGCCTGACACGTGGACATGTTGGCCCTTATTAGAATAATAATCATCCCATTTTATAGATAAAGTAAGGCTCAGAGAAATGGGGTGACTGTCCTGGATCACCCAGCCAGTGAGAAGCTGAACTGCACAGCCCCATGTCAGGGTCACCTGAGAGCTATTCAGGTACCAAGCCCTGAGCCCTATTTCAACCCCACTGAATCTGAATTTCTGGGCTAGACTTTGTGCTTTTTAAAAACCTCCCCAGCCAGTTCTGATGCTGCTGGTCAGGCATTTGGAACCATTAGCCCGTGGCTCCCAGGGCCTCTGCCGAGCATACTTCAGGGGATGGGGAACCTGCTACCTGCACGGCAGGCTAGTGCACGTGGGTGGGCCATTCCTCAAGCCCCAAAGCCAGAGCAGAGAGAAAGCCTCTCGCTTGGGTGCGTTACCCAAGGCTCTCCCATCATGCTCGCCCCTGAAGAGCTGGGGGGCTCCCTCCCCTCCCCCTACCCATTCACGCTGGCATCCAGCCCAGAGGGTTATTTATTTGGTGGCTGGGAGCGGTGGCCCCCTTCAGACACCTGTTACAGGAGCCTGGACTTCCCTCTCAGCTCCAGCATCCCAGGGGCCTGTAAATCATTGATCCCGGGCCCTCTCCCCGCCCCGCCACTCTCACGCCCCTCCCTGCCCCTCCCTCTGGGCTCCAGAGTGGCACAGGTGCTCGTGGAAGGCGACGGGAGGGCGGCTCCGGGCATTCAGGAGTTCTGGCCCAGAGCTGTGACTGGATGGAGCCCAAGGCTCCTGACTGTCGTTAAAAATGCAAGTTCATATCTGCACATGGTAAAAATTTAAACATCCCTAAAACTCCCTCCTACTTGCGGCTTCCCAGCCTTCAGTCCCCTCTCCAGAGGCAGCTCTGTTAACGGCTTCTTGTATATTCTTTCAAAAAGAACTCTATGGGTACTTCAATACATGGCTGTGTATATTTGAGTGTATATTCCCCCATTTTAATACAAAAACAGCAACATACTATTCACAACATTCAGTGTCTTCCGTTTGGGTTTTTTTTTTACTCAACAAAATATCAGATGTTGCTCCATATTGGTCCATATGGGGCTTTACAACCTCTTTTGAATGACTGCACAAAGCTCATCTCCACGGATGGACCCTCTTTTATTTAACATGTACCCTACTTGTAGGCATGTTCCCTGTGTGTAGGCATGTACATTGTAGTTTCAAACAGCTACAGCTTTGGACTTTTCTCTGCGGCATCCATTCCTGGAGGTGAGATCCATGGGTAAGGGGTATGCACATGTTCGGTGAGGCTAGACTTCACCACGCTAGGCTCCTGTGGATGGCTGGTTCTTGGACCACACGGTGAGAGTAAACATTTTGTTCTTTGGCAGAGCCATTTTCTTAGCAACAAAACTGTGTGTTTGAGCAGTTCTATCAATAGAAGTTGGCCAGTCGGTTCCTCAGCCTACCAGCCCCTCTCCTGGGCCCAGAGAGGGAAGTGGGGACAGGGAAGATGGGGTCTGTGGGCTGGGTCTTCACTGGCAGCCTTGCTAGAACAGAGAGGACAAATTATGCAACCAGAGCCATACCGCCCATCCAGGCCCACCCCACACTCCACGCCCCACCCCTACTATGGGAAAAGCCTGGCTGGAGAGGGGGTCACCTGAGCCCGGGTTCATACCACTACCAAACAGAATAGCCCTCAGCAAGGGCCCCTTTCTAAGCCTCGATTTCCCCATCTACGAAATGGGTGTGATGGATCCCTGCTTGCTCACGAGAAAGGATGGAGTGAGCCTGAGGGGACAGGTGCCTTCATAATCACGGCTTGGAATCTCAGGCTGGGGCGTGGGTGGGCAGGGAGCCTCATCCCCGCCTCAGGCTGTGAGTCTGCTGGGCATTTTCAAGGCCGCCACCTGCGGACCCTCCAGCCACGGGCCTGCTCTCACTATGGGCTGGCCCCTCCCTTCCCAGAAGTACAAGTAGGCGGGTGGTCTGCTGTTTGGGCTTCTGCCAGTGCTTAGGGGGGTTCCATGGCGGGTTCTGCAGCCCCTAAACCTGGTAGGTGAGGAGTTGTGAATGAGGCCAGATGACATGGTCTTGGGCAAGTCCGTGACTGCCAGGGACCTCAGTGACCTTGACCACGCAGGGAGCTGGACCAGAAAGACTCACCAGATCTCTCTTATTTGGATCTCTGGCAGCTGTATAACCATCCTGAACCTCGGTCTCTTCATTTATAACATGGGAGGAGACTAAACTCCCGTGACCTTTTCTGGGTTTAGCCCAGAGAGCCCAGCGGGCTGGGGATGCGAACTCTGCTGGGCTCTGGTGGTGGTGACATTGGGCAGAATTGTTTTTGAGCTGGTGTTGGATTTTCTAGGCCAAGGAGGGGCTCCATCTGGACCAAAGCCTTAGCAGCCACTCCCTTGTCCCTTTCCTGGGCCAGGCCTGGCCGCGGGCCGAGGCTGTCCATCCTGCATCGGTCTGCGAGCTGAGGGCAGTGGGTGTGGGCACGTCCAGTGCGGTTCCGCCGCTCTGGCAGGAAACCCAAGGAAGGGAGCCCGGGAACATCTGTTGTCTCCCATTCCCCACAAAGCCATTTGGCTCTTGTGAGCCCAGTGCTCTCCTGCCAAGCTGTGTGGGCTCAGGAGGGAGAGGGGGCTAGGTCAGGGTGGGGGACTGTTAGGACAGGGGGCTGAGGCCAGAACTGTGACCCAGAGAGAGGTGAAGACTGGGCTGTTGTGGGGGCACTTGGATGAGGCAGGGGGATCTGTGGTTATTCGGAGACCCACCATGTCCTGGTGGGACACATGTGTGGGTCTGAAAGTGCTTGCGTGTGCCTCCTATTTATAGCCATGTGCTCAGCTTTTTACAAAGAAAACTCGTGTTTAGTCAGGCCCCCACACCAGCTCAAGCCAAGCATGACTCTTAATATTCTCTCCAGACAGACCTCTGATCCCAGCCCCAAAGAAGCCCTGACAGTAACCCCAGGAGGCCGGCCCTCCAGTCCAGCTCCTGGCCCCAGGCTGAGCCCCATGGAGAAGCCAAGCCCTCGCCTCCCCTCTCCTGGGTTACTGCAGGTCCCTCTGTGCTTCCCGCTTCCTCTTGCCAGTCTGTTCTCCATGCAGCATCTGGAGACATATTAAAACCTACAGCAGACCTCATGTCTCTTCTGCTCAGAACCCTGCAATGGCTCCTGTCCCAGACCGAGGAAAAGCCAGAATCCTTTCCGTGGCCCATGAGGCTATGGGCAGCCTACCCTCTCCCCTTGCTTAGGCTACAGCCATACCTCACTGTTCTCACACGTCCGATGTCAGGCATGCTCCTGCCTCAGGGCCTTTGCACTTGTTCCCTCTGCCTGGAGCCCTGACTTTTTTTAGTTTTGCACTTACTGATGTATCCCAGTGCCTGGCTTACAGCAGGAGCTCCGTAAATATCTGTGGGTTGAGCAGTCTCTGTGCCTGGGCACAGGCAGAAGGGTAGATGGCTCCAGGCAGACCAGCTCCTGTCCACTCCTGGCTCAGGGCTTGGTGTCCAGGGCTAGGGCCTCTTGAGGTAAGTTCCAGGTCCTCAAGGGTCACCAGCTGCCATATTCAACAGGAATCGAGGTGCCACACACCCCAGGACAGTTCAGCAAGCTTCCACTCTGCCTCCAGTGGCTCTTCCCTGTTCTCTTCTGCACCGGAGAAAGGAACAGCTGCCATCGTTAGTCTCAGTCTGCCCTTGTCTGCCAGGTGTCCCTCCATGGCACTGGTGTTCGTATCTGTGGTCTGAGGACCCTGAATAGGGACCACCTGGGGAACTTAATAAACATGCAGATTGCACCCCCAGGCTTTTCCTCTCACGTGGGCAGGGGTGCCCTGGAAGCTGCTGGGTTAAAGCTGGAGGAGCAGACAATCCGAGCAGGGCTCTGGTCAGGAGACCAGGACTGAAACCCCAGCTGCACAAGCAGCTTGCTGTGTAACCCTACGACATTTGCTTTCCCTCTCTGTGCCTCCCCAGATGGGCATGAAGCAGCGCTTGCCTCTCAGGGAGTCTCCAAGCCTGAGCCTGGGGGGAATGATTGCTACCCCTAGGGCTGGGGTGTACCTCCCTGCCCACTTCAGGGTCCTTCTTCAGAGGGTTGGGGGCTCTACCTGGGCCTTTTGCAGGCTTCCCCTCTCCACTCACCTCCCCTCCTGGCCCCTGTGCTTCTCAGGTAAGACCCGGACCAAGGACAAGTACCGCGTGGTCTACACTGACCACCAGCGCCTGGAGCTGGAAAAGGAGTTCCACTACAGCCGTTACATCACCATCCGGCGGAAGTCAGAGCTGGCCGCCAACCTGGGGCTCACTGAACGGCAGGTGTGCGGGTCCCTCCACCTCAGCCACAGGAGCAGCACTGGGAATCTGGCCTCCAGATTGCAAAGCAGATTAAGGAGCTCAGAGAGGTTGAGCCTCCTGACCATGGTCACACAGCTCAGCAAAAACTGAGCTCCTGCCCAATCCTCTCCTGTCCCAACAAAACCCAATATCCCTAACCCCCAATAGTGGGGTAGGGGATCTGTTTAGCTATGGGCCAAAGCTGACTCTGATCAGTGCTGTTTAAATCCAGAGGAGGGCGCAATCAAAGGCAGAACAGGGAGGCTTCCTGGAGGAGAGGTGTGAGGGTTTGACCTTGGGAGATGGAGAAGGAGGTTACAGGATCAGTTGTCGCTGGAGTAGGGGCGCATGTTCTAGAGAGGAGAATGTGTTCAGGGTCCATGAGTGGTCTGGGTGGCTGGCATGGGGGGAGGCCACAAAGGCCACATCAAAAAGTAGGAGCTCAGCTGCCCTCTCTCTCCCTCTCCCTGTCACGGGTCTCCGCACTGCCCACCTCTGATCTCCAACCACAGGTGAAGATCTGGTTCCAAAACCGGCGGGCAAAGGAGCGCAAAGTGAACAAGAAGAAGCAGCAGCAACAGCAGCAGCCCCCGCAACCCCCACAGCCACCACCGCCAGCCCATGAAGTCACCCCCACCACAGCTGGGCCGCCCCTGGGGGGCCTGTGCCCCAGCTCCGCCAGCCTCCTGGGCACCGCCTCCCCAATGCCTGTCAAGGAGGAGTATCTGCCTTAGCCCCCTGCCCAGCCTTGTGGGCCGGGGACCTGGGGACTCAGATGCTGGGAATGTGGCTTCTGTTGGAGCCCAAGAGGCCTGGTCTGAGTCCCGGCCCTGCCACTGACCTTCTAGGTCACCTTGAACAAGTCACCCACCCAGCCCCTCTGTGCCCTTGGCCTCTCTGTGCCATGAGCTCTTTGGATAAGAACATTTTCCTTTTCTAGGACTCAGGGGGATGAAAGAACCCAGGATGGGAGGTCTCAGTCCCCAGAGGGCTGGGTGAGGGAGCCAGGATAAGTCTCCAGTCCCCATCTCCTTCTCTGTAGGTTCAAGGACAGAAGGTCCCTGGAGAAAGGAAATGGGGCCGAGGGAAGATGGAATGCTTACCTGGGGGGAGGAATGTGGTCAGCTCACACTTGCCTGGTCCTGCGGCCTCACCTCCACCTGCCCCCATCCTAACACATCCCAAAACTCTCCATGCAGGGCAGAAGCCCACAGTACTGGGCCTGAGAGGCTCTGATGACTGTCCCCTCTGGGTTGCAGAGCCATATCCCCTCACTAACATTCTCAGTGGGGCCTCCCCCACCTGGAGAGGGACAGAGCCCACCCTGCCAAGTTCCACCCCACAAGGCTGTCCCTCAGGGCCCAGGACCCAGTGGGCCCTCAGAGGACTTTCTCTGGACCAAGCAGAACTCACAGCTGGGCAAGTGTTGTACATAGAGTGGAATCTCTTGGATACAGCTTTAAGAATAAATTTTTTTTTCTCTTTTTAAAGATGGTATAAAAATCATTTTACATAGCATTAAAGGAAAGTGTTAAATATAAATCATCCTCACCCTTTTCTAACAATTGCATAATCCCTTCCATCTCCATTGGCCTACAACAAGGTCACCTTTAAAATTCATTTGAACGATTAAAATGTGACATTGTTCAAGTCAGTCTACGAGACTATATAAAATTGTAAGTGCACATTGTAAGCAGAATCACAGACTCAATGTATCAGTCTTTTGAATTTTTCAAATACTTTCAGCTCAGGATTTTACAATATTCACTGGGTACCCCATGTGCCAGCATGGCCGGGCCCGGTGATTGCATAGTCCCTGCCCCCCAGAAGCTCCCAGTCTGAGCTGTGCTCTGGGCATCAGGGAGCAGAGCATTCGGGGACTCAGCTTCTTCAGGAGGGTCTGGAAGGCTTCCTGGAGGAGGTGAGGTTTGAACGAATGCCAGAGCACTAGTGGGTGCTGTCCGGCCAAGAAAGGAGAAATGATAATAAAGACTATGAGCAGTATGAACTTAATGTATACTTTTTAAAAACACCTGAGAAACGCTACTGTTCTCAACTCCCTTTCAGAGGTGGCCAGGAGTCTGCTGCCTGGAGGGCTCCTGTGCCAGCTGCCTGCCCCTCTGTTTACTGTTCTGGGAGGTGGCCCAGCCATAAAAAGTGTGTGCAGCCTGCCCTTTGCTCCCGGGACACATGACGACAATGCACAAGGTGGATCCCTCCTGCACACAAGCCCCTGGAGAGCAGTAGGCACTCTCTCCTGCCCGCGGTGATGTGGCTTCTCCGAGGGTGGGGGACATCTACAGCATGGGAACCAGGTGGTACCAGGGAGAGGATCAGGGTCCCAGGAGCAAAAGAGGGTTGGTGGAAGGGTGGCTGGCAGTGAGTGAATATAATTTTCTGATCGTCAAAAACATTTGCTGTGTGACCTGGGGTAACTGCTTCCCCTCTCTGGGCCTTGTTTTCCCATCTGTAAAGCTGGGGAGCTAATTTATCAAAAAGAAATAGTTCTGGTCAAGTAAGTTTGGAAAGTCCTACAGTCTTGTCCCTCTGGGAGAGTCACAGTGGTGCATCAGTACCCCAAAGGCTCTGACAAGTCCCACAGCAAAGAATCCCCTTGAACCTTCTTTAATCCGGCATTCCCCATGCTTCCCTACGCAGGAGCCCCCTACCAGCACCTACCTGCACCCCACTGAACACCCCGCACTCTGGAGTGGGGTGTGTTCTGTGGGCTGGAAGGCCACACTGCAGCTGCGACTCAGTGTTTAGTAGCAGATTTTGTTGTCAGATGGCCTGGGTTCCAGCCTCACTGCTTCTAAGCTGTGAGACTTCAGGCAAGTTACTTAGCTTCTCTGAGCCTCAGCCTCCTCATTTGTCAGATGGGCCCAGCACAGGGCCCAGCACGTAGTGAGTTCTGGGTTTCAGCCACCTGCTCACAGAGCTGTTGCATTCTCGTGTGACAGGCTGGCAGGCTTGACTGATGTTTTGATTACCCCACCCCCAACATTGAGGACAGATGGTGGCTGGGAAGATCTGAGGCAAGACAGGCCTGTCCCCAGCTACCAGAAGACCTTCCTGGCAGGAGGTCAGTGGCCAGGCCTGGCAGGCTGGGTGAGCTGCAGCTGCTGCCCACATGGAGGTCAGGGGTTGGGTGGGGCCCACAGGTAGCGTTGGCGATCACCTGTCAGTGGTGTGAGTGCTGTAGAAAAGGACACTTTTATCTAAACATCTTCCAAGCAGTACCACGGGCTGGCTTCTTGTGAGGTAGTGAGTTCCCCATCCACAAAGAGAGTTCCACCAGAGGCTGAGTGTTAAAAGACTCAGGAAAGGGACCCCTCATATCCTGTTAGACCCCGGTGCTAAGAGATGTTCCGACTTTCCTATCAGCTGCCTCTGCTTGGCATATAGAGATGTTCGAGCTTTCCCCCATTGGTTGGCAGGCTTTGCATTGATACTGGAGACCTGGGGTCCAGACAAAAGTCAGATCTGGCCTAGTCTGGCTCCCGAAGGCCCTGGGCCTGGTCATGGCCTCTATCAAATCAGAAACATGCCCATCAGCACCATGTTTTGCATACAATTTCCCCTCTAGACCCTTCATGCCCTGCTGAGAACCTCAGTCTCACGGAGGCCATCACTGATTGCCGAGAGATTGGGGTGGGCTGAGCAAGAGGGCCCCAGCCCAGCTCCGGGGGGGGACTCAGCTCAGTGTTGGGAGCAGTCTGTTCTCACACAGGAGGTCTCCAGCAGCCCAGGGTGTGGTGTGGGGTGTGTGTGTGTGTGTGTGTGTGTGTGTGTGTGTGTGTGTGTGTGAGACAGGTTATGATGGGGGACAAAGGACTGGGGAAACCAGCCCGGCTCTGGACGGCGAGAGGCCCCAGCTAGTGGGATACAGAGCCTGGGGGCACAGCAGGCCCAGGACAGGAGCCTTCGGAGGGCTTCCTGTCCTAGCGTGGCTGCTCCGGAGCCACTTCCTTGGAATCACACCAGATGGACTAGCAGTCTGGATCCTCATTCTTCACAGTCACCACTCACGGGTATAACAAAACACATGGTCTACAGCAATAAAGTCTGAACATTAAAGCAAATTAAAAATGTTTATTTATATGCATTTAAAAATATCTCCCTATATAATAACAGGAAGTACATTTTCATCTAACACTTTCCTGAAATTAGCACACATCTCCACTTTACTTTTGATGTGAGACCAGGAGAGAGAGAGAGAGACAGAGAAATAGAGAGAGAGAGAGAGAGGAGGGAAGGGGGAACGGGAGATAGACCGAGCAGTCCCTGGTTTGGACTCCTATGTAGCTGTTTTGCCAAGTAGTACCCTGACTCCCCTTGAGATAGGGGAGATAGGATAGCAAATGTTTAACATGCTCGGTAGCCGAACTCGTGGTCAGTTGTATGATCATAAAACTGGGGCTTCAGAGGAGAGATGGACTTATGTGGACTATCTCTTCCAATGCTGGGATTTTGTTTGTTTTATAAAGTACAGACTTTTTCAACGAAGGCCATGCTGGTGGGGAGAGGATGGCAGAAAGGTGTGATCCGAGGGCACAGCCTGGGTGGGGTCAGACTCCTAGAGTCAAGGTCTGACCCTGCCTCTACTCCACAGAGTGATTTTGCAAAGTCCTACCTCTTCTGGGCCTCAGTTTCCCCACCTGAGAGGTGTGGGCCTAGACCCATTTGCGCTCGTAGCCCAGTGACTACTGCTGATGTTCTGTGGTCACCCCATGATGTGTTTGCTTGAGGAAGGCTAAAGCCCCAGCTCTGTTCCTTCCCCTCCCCCAGGGCTGGCTCCCTCCAGGGCTGGATCCGGTGGGGGCAGGTGCTGCTGGGAGAGGCTCTGGAGCCAATGCCTTGATTCTATTCTCTGTTCCTGTGGTTCTCTGCGCCTTCCATAGAGTCTAATGAAAGCTGGGAGCCAATGGGAGGGGGTGGTTCAGCAAAGTGAGGGTTGGGGCCTGGCTGGGCCCCCTTGGAACCCTCAGGCACAGCCCATGACCCTCTTGCTTTATCCCCAAAGCCCAGACACTCAGTGCTCTGTGTGCCATTACTCCTCTGAGACAGTTTCCTCGGGTGCCAAAAGGGGATGCACAAACCTGTCTTCCCAGGCTGAGAAAGAATTAAAAATTAAATACTGATATGAGTTCATCTAACATAGACACTTCACATTCATGGCCAAGGGGCTCCTTGCTCCTGGGTCTGCAGAGCCCCTGGCCTGCCCTGTGAGGTCAGGCTTTAAGGAAGACGCAGCTGGTGGAACCTGGAGAGATGTGGGCCCAGGATGGACTAGGCCAGGCCTTTTATCCAAGCGTTTGCTTTTATTTAAACCCTTCCCACCTCCTACCAGGCTCCAGGGTGTAAGCAGCAGCCCCTACCTTCACTCTCCTCAAAGGCTTCCCTACGTTGGCTGATGGCAGGGTGACCCTATGGAATAGTGTCTGAACTGGGACACTTTTAAGAGCCAGTGTGGCTCAGTGGATTGAGTGTCATCCCATGGACTGAGAGGGCCCGGTTCGATTCTGGGTCAGGGCACATGCCTCGGTTTTGGGCTCGATCCCCAGTGGGGGGCATGCAGGAGGCACCCAACTGATGAATCTTTCTCACATCGATGTTTCTATCTCTTTCTCCCTTCCCCTCTCTCTGAAATAAAAACATTTTTTAAAAAAAGAGTGGGAAGACCACAATGTATAATGTATATGCCAGATTCATTAGCACACACTGGTTCAGTTCCACAAACCAATGCGTATAATCACTGTAGCTAATTATTTCCCATCCTTGCCACACGCCTGCTGGA